AAAAAAGCCCCGTCTGGAGTGAAGGCGACGCTGCATAATACTCCCAGCGCAGAGATAATGGCGAGCACCCACACCCGGAATGGAAGAATTGGCGAGGAAGCTTTTTCGCTCGTAACGCAGCAGGTACCAGCACCAGAAAGGGAAATCTCAGCCGGCCGCTCTCTCCGGCTCAAATTTTGCTTTCTATTGAGCAGTGCGTCCTCGGCCCCCCACCCGCCGATGGACTCGGGAGAGGCGAATTCTCAATCTACAGAAGCACAGGACAAATAGCGACAAACAATGAAGACGGTGCTTGTATTATTAATATTAATAATGTAAATATTAATAAATAATAACAATTGCTATTATTATTGTTATTATTATTATTATTATTATTATTATTATTATTATTATTATTATTATTATTATTATTATTATTATTATGCGAAATCGCCGTCGCGAGCTAGAAAGTTCGCCAACTTCCATTCGAATCTCGTGCAACGTTGAGAATATACGAAAATTAAGAGAGTGATAGAGCCAGCGAACTCTGTCTTAAATGAGGTGGTACATACGCCAGGTAGAGATCTAGATATATTACTGAAATCAACCACATTTTGTACGCCAATGAATATATGTGAAATTTCGTTCTCGATATACTTAATTGTTTATTAGAACACAGCATCTCATAATCACTCCCATTTTTGTACTCACTCCATTCGCTCTAGGCACACAAGTATACTGAAAACAGAGGTTTGCAATGTCTCGCTTCGACTGTTCGCTTCATACCCTTCACGCCGAGGGCAGAGGTAATATCGCGCCCTCGGTGACTCGGAGCGAAAAGATTGTCTTTACCATTTCTTTGAAAAACAAACAAACTATATGTAACGTTTATTGGTAGTTCCGTGTAATAATTTCATTAATAATTTTTGTCTTACGGCGACTATTAATGTTGTTTTAAAGATTCAACCTTTCTTTTTAATCTAAACAGTCATTAAAACTCCCGTTTCAATATTTTAATTTTCTTAACTGTATTCGTATAAACAAATTATCTGGTATTATTTGGATTGTTGAATATCAGTTTTGGAGAAAATCGGCTGAACGGTTTATGCACTAGCTTGTGCACAGACAGACAGACCGACATGTTTTGCCGTCAATCTATTTTTCGGTATCAAGGACGCACAAAAGTGGATTCTGGGTACACCACGTGTTAGAGGTTTTTTTCCTATATTTAGCAATTGGATTTATCTACTTTTTCCTTACCAGAGCCCGGCAATAAGAGATTTTGAGTCGAAAATGTGCCGTTTTTCGGCGCACGACAACAATACTTTCTCTACTTACATTAGTAAGTGCGTGAAAGTTACAATCCGTCTTTCGAGCCTCCCAGAGATAGCACAGGGCTTCCGAGGTCGGAAATTTGGGGTTTTAACTAGTTCCTTGGTACATACAACACACTCAAAGAAAAAGGTTTTATTACCTTTTCCCAAGTTTCGGTAAGAGGTAATCATGTTACCAATTACTAAAGAAAAGAGAAAAGCAACAATTATGACGAAAGAAGGGCAAGATAATATTCATTACACGAAAGATTCTTATCCTCTAGGCATTTACGTATATCACTACTGTTCCCGTCTCTATGAATAAGTTCATTGTATTGCTCTTGGAATAAAATGTTTCTTACGAGTTTTTAGAAAGCATTACAACAATGCTCTCTTCGATTTCTCGATTTAATGTCTTACGTTATGATATTTCTGATAGTAGCACCTACCTCAAAGCCACTATCTGAATATAGCAATAATTATTTGTTTCGACGTGTGGATCGCCTGGGGAGGTGCGAGGTCGGCGTTCATGACAGGTACTTTGCCCAACGAAGGCGCACAGTCCTCTGAGAGCTAATGTAACTCGCTATTTACACATCACGACGTGTTAATGGACAACGTGGAGGTAACGAACAGCTCCTAGTCACTATGGACAAGCGTTAATTTGCGTACATTTGCTGCCCTTACAGAGGTTACAGATGAACTTTCTCGGAGAGGGTCCAGTGACTGTGATGACTTACTCTGAGCAGGTGAAGGAGGGAGCCTATACCTTTTATTTCTCTTCTTTCTGGAAAGTGATCACAGTGATGGTTTCCTTGGTGATCACTGATGGAGTCCCCAGTTTGAATGACACACCGCGTACACGAGTCGTTATTGGTGTTGCTAGATGAATTAGTGAGAATGAAATAATAAATTAAGATGAGATTCGTCACGAAAAGTACTACGTTCAGTTAGTAAAACACGACTTGTAACGATTTAGAAACGTACCAAGTTAAATGTTTATATTAGCATTTTCTTTTGACTATTTCTAAGAGTATTAAAATGTCATGGTGTTATGAAATAGGTACTGCAGATAATTTTCAAATACTTTTTATAATTATTCCTATTTTTCACGTCAATTTGCAACTTTCTGTCTTATGGATTTCGGAATACGATTGCAAGCTCGGTGGTATAAATGATTTTTTCTTAAAGTGTCTTTTTTTGTATCGAAATGATTCGCTAACCATAGTTCTTGAAGTTTATGAAACTAAGACTATTGCTAAACCGCGTACGAAGAAATTTATCAAAACTTCCAATTCTTTTTCACTTCTAAAATGTTTATCTCTGACTGGGAAGATACTTCAATATCTTCATTTGAAAATTCTGTAGAAATTCCCTTCCTGTATTTTCTAAAATCGAGAACAAAAGCATATAATGCTTGTGCCTGCAAGTCTCTATCTTAAATGAAAAAATTGGCGTCATCGCTTTTTTCAAATACCACTTCTATTTTATACATACCTTTATTTCTAACATCATATTTCTTGTATTTCTTCTTGAAGAGAAAGTTTCCAACTTTGTACACATTGATCACATCGTTGTCTGGTTTTGATTTTCTTAACCAAGCCCCGAAGTGGCCATATTTATTATACAAGTAATTGTATAAATCCAGTTGTTAAATTTAAAAATAAAAATCTTATAACACGTCGTATAGCCAGAATTCATGTTTCGCGAGACCTTGACTTCGAAAAATCGAATGACAGCAAAACATCTGTCCATCCGTTCGTCTGTGAATAACGCTAGCTGCTAAACAGTTCAGATAATTTTCTCCGATTTCACCAATCATGGATTCAACTGAGGTTGGAAAGAATGCATAGACGGCGCCCAATTTCTCTCCAGATGAAAGAGAATTACTCGAATGCTTAATGAGCAAATACAAAGAAAGTTTTAATGCTCGTTCTGACATTTCCAAATAATCGCTTCTTTTGGGAATTACTCGTGGTGTCTCTCACCACAATAAATCTTTAATGACTTCACCACCGAAAACAAACCCCATTTTTACGACACAAATTAACCTAACAGGAACAAAAAATCAAAGTATTACTACAATAAAAAAGTATTCAATAAAACTATCCCACGCCAATTGCAATACAGATATCACAAAAATCAGATATAAATAAGGAAAAATAGCGCCTCCAATAAACGACAACTAACAAAATGCTATTTTACTAATGACACTTATAATTACACCAATTTGAAGGCAAAATATATTTTAATTTTACGCAATCCTACTTCTTAGCAAATACTTCCATACAGAATCTACGTCCAACTACAGGTATTTACTTCAAAAATACGGAAAACTGAAATAGCTAGACGACCAAGGCGAGAAATAACTCCCGATCTGGCAGTGGTCCACTGCTCGGCGATGGATCAATTGCGAGTCAAATTTGATCCGAGACAGACACGTTCATCCTTTTAAGTGTGTGGAGAAACGTACAACGGGGACAAACTGAAGTTGATCCGGATCAAATCAGGATCATCTTGATTCCGGCTGGTGAAACCGGCCCTAATTGATCTGGCTGATGTACCGGGCTCTTAAATTTGAAACCGATATTTTAATTTTTAGGGGGGTTCTTCACATTAAGCCCCACGAACATTTTCAAAATTAAAAAAGGCCCCATCGTTTTTGATTACATTTTGTTGTTGGATAGTGTGAAGGACGTTCAAGAGAATGGTGCAAATCTTATTTTAACCGTTAAACGTTAAAAACCTTGATTTTTCGAAAATTGCAAACAGTTCAAATTTGTTTCATAGTCTTCCTAGAACTAAAATATTAAAAATAGAGATTTATTTCTTAATGAAATATCTTGCTTAAGAAAAGTTTGAAATAAGGTCAAGTACAATTTTTCGAAAATTTTAGTACTTTTCGCGTAATTTTTCATGAAAGCACAGACGATAAATTCGTGCTGTTTTTGCACCTCTAGTTGTTTAGAATGGATACGAATAGTAATTCTGTTCATTATTTAAAAAAAACTGTAAAATTTAGACGCTTAACTCTTCAAGAAAAGTGCGATATAAAAGCTCTCGATAGACCTATACCGGTACTGAACATATCTCAATTCATTTTCTATTTTTGCATGCACCCTCGCATTAATTAAAGGCAATAGCCGCCACTGCCCAGCACATATCAATTTCGCAATTTCGCAAACTAATAGTGCTACAAAATGGCACAGACGTTCTAGTATTTGTTTTCCATTTCCTTTGGTCTCGGCTATCTTATCGAACTCTTGCCTGCTGCTATCTATCGACGCACAAAGTACATTGTTTTTAAAATTTGTTAAGATTTCGACTTCCTAATAGTAGAACGAAAATATTATTATAAGAATATTAAAGTACAGTAAAATCTACCTGCACAAAAATGAACACAGAATGCGTTAAAAGCAGCAAATCAATTTAATTTTCAATAGAGAGTATCGTACAAGCGCGGATGTAATATTGCTTCTCTTGTTATTACAGTTTAGTAGAATGCAAAGACTTCATTACTTAATGTAATTTTAAAGCAAATATCCACAGCCGAACTGTCTTAAAAGCGAAATGCGATTGACAACAGTATTTCTCGTACAATATATTCCATCTTTTAGGCTTCACCCCTTCTCCATCACGAAGATTTTAAAGGATAATAAATTCGACATTTAGAACCGTTTCCACTAATGCGATTTCTTTTCTTCGTAGGTCTATGACATTATGGGAGACGGTTATATGATCAAGGAAACTATGTACAACCTGATGCACAAGGCGCTGGTGAAGAGTCCGGGAGACGAGGATGTGGAGGAGGGGGTGCGGGTAAGTTGTACTGAAGTTCCGCATCCCTAATGAAGGGAAATATAAGCTAGAAAAATGTGTTTTAATAGAATTCTCCCGGATGAGATGTATCAGATGCATTACTGTTGCTTCTGTAGCGACTCTGATCGAGAGGATCTGGGGTTCAAGGCCCGATTATCGACACTAGCGACATAGCTATCTCGAATTCAGTCACTTTCTGCAAGAGAATTCTAGCGACCGGCTGCTCTGATCGTTAGTTTTTCGTTGTTTCTCCGATCAATACCACGCGAATGCCGGAGCTGTTCCCTACCAAACGGGTCATGGACCGCGCGCGATCTTTGCTTCCTCTTTCTTGTTCCATCCTCACCCCTTCCTTACATTCACTTATACTTAATACATGCACTACACAATGACACATACCTGGAGACCGATCGGGGGCAAACGTTTTGTCTCGGCTGGGAGAGTGCCCTACTGGTTCGAGAAAATCCCTACAAGCCGACGTAGATGGGCAACAGCCAGCGGGTAAGATCATCGCCCTCCTGTCATGAACAATACTTACAGGACTTAGCAGTTGACACGGCCAGAATCACTAACTAATCAGTCAATCGATCTAACTGAATACTCAGAGGACGGATTCGACCTTTTCATCGTGGTATTGCTGGTATTGGTACTGGTATTGTTCGGAGAAACCACGGAAAACTACCGATCAGAGAAGCCGGCCGCTAGAATTGTCCTCAGACAGCGTGCGGCTGAATTCGACCTAGCTCTCTAGCTAGTGATAGTGAAATGCGTGTCACGTGGGCAGGACATGGTGGACGTGATCTGCCGCAAGCTGGACCTGGACCGCGACGGAAAGGTGTCCTTCCAAGACTTCCGCACCTCCTGCCTCAAGACGCCGCTGCTGCTGGAGGCTCTGGGCGAGTGCATCCCCAGCCGCTCAGCCATGCACGCCTTCCTCAGCACCTTCACCAGCAACACGGGCCACGTGTAGCCCCATCCCGCGCCCTCGCTTGCCCCCTCTCTGCCCACCTCCGCGACAGCCTCCTCATTCTTATTTTTATTGTTTGGAATTCCTTAAAATGAAACATTATAATTCATTATACCTGGCATTGAAGATTTCAGAAGATAATTACATATGTATTATTAATTGAATATTCATTACGTTTGCATTTTAATCCTATAAAACGATGAACGTTGCGTTAAACGTCCTTAAAAGATCCGATTTGCACGCTTCGTTTTGACGAACAATTTTTGGAGTTTTAAGGAACGCGCGCCGGCGCACCGCGGCCCCGCCGCTCAGAAGGCAGCGAAAAGAAGCGCGTAAATCAGGTCTACCAACAAGGACGCGCTTTAAAAGCAAGTGAACCCCGGCACAAACATATCGCATTGTACTTTCAAAAGAGTCCCGTAATAAAGGCAGAAACCTTCGCATTTTTGACGGGAGTACATGCTTCCTCGTCCAAAGGCGGATGTTGGCACATTGACAGCCAAATTAATTCAAATTTGGCACAACCTTCCGAAATTAATTCATTTTCACGAATTCTTTGAAGTTATTTAAGTAGATTGCATTCATACTTTAGGAAACATGCATTTCAAAGGTCGCGCGATCGAGATGAACATCAGTTTCGCCCCCAAAAAACCCGCGAATTCTCTTCCCCAAGGAGCAAGAAATGATTTGGTATGAAACTCTTTGAAACAAACTTTGATAGTACTCCCAAAAGGATCTCGTAGATACACCACCCCCTGGTCACTGGCGCAACGAAGCTTTCTCACAATGTAAATAATTTTCCGGAAATCTGATTTTTCCACACAAGTCGCGACGACATCGTGATTTCTCCGCCTCGCTCACGCGATTTTGGATGGCATCAAAAATTATATTTTTTGTTTCGTATTACGTTGATTAGGGCATTACCATTTAGAAAGGTTTTATACGCGATGCAGATGCGCTGAAAATCGCACTGAATTTACAAGCGGTTTAAGGAGAATGATTGGCCGCTGGCCATTACCTCTTCAATACTAATGATTCTGACGAAAAGGTTTAATCGTGATGATTGGTGTCGTTTTTTTCAGAATACTCCTCTTCTAATTGTGAACACACCAAGGAGATGGTAGGACTTCTGCGGTACAGTTTTCTGCAAATGCTGCCCAATCATCTAAGCAATATTTCGCAGTTTTCCACATACGAAGTGTTGTCTTACTCAGGGTAAGTGAGGGGCACAGGATTGCTTCTATAACCTACCTGTTCTGGCAAGTGACCACAAGAGTTCAAGCCGTTACCTTTCACCCTATGTGCGATACGCAACTTTTAATTTATATCTATGGTGATGTGAATGCTGATTACGGATGAATATTATGGTTAAGACGAAGATTTAATTATGATTCTTAGTAGTGGTTTGGGGGAAATGCACAGCGCAACACCTTTACGCGGATTGGCTCTTGAAACCTTTGCTCGGCGCGTTTCTCGGTCGCTGTTCCAAACTCGTGCAACACCCAGAAGGCTCAGAAAGAAATCCTTCATTTTAATTTTTGTTTATTGGAATCATAGGATTCATATATCAACACAGCAGGAATATTTATATATTTAAATTTTTGACGACGTATATTAAACTTAAATACGAACTTAATGCGGACAAAGGAAGCGCATAGAGAGCCTTACGCATTCTCCACTTTGAACTTAAGAATTCATGGAGGAGAATTCATGTAGGGGAACGTGTGGCAAAGTTACCATTAAGTTTGAAGCAACAATGTACTGAACATTTCGTTTTAAAAAATATTCATACATTATTCAAAAATTATTAGATATCTTATCCAGTATCATACAGAAAATGTGTGTTGCTTTCAGCAAAACTGGTTCTTCCTTTTTTAAATTTTCTGGGAGCGTGAAAACAATGCTAATTGTTTACAACTTAAACAAATATTGGTAAATAATGAAAATCAGAATTTAAAAAATCATAATCTGATGTAATGAAGATTTATTTTATCTCTACGTAAATAGCTTTTTGTACCGTTTTGTGTTTATTGAAGTGAGTCCAGAACCTTTAAGATATCTCAAATTAGATGATGTTAGGATGGCCGCGTTTCCAGTTCTGCGGTTGGATTTAGAGAAATTTGATTATGGTTTTGGTACAGGAAGAATTTCTTCAGAAGAATCTATCAGGATCTGAGATTCTACCTCCACCAATGGCGTATTGGGTGTAACTTACAATGTAGCTTTTGAAGATTATGGTGACAGCTCACAAAATCTTGTTTCTGCTGGAGCGAAAGCATCATTTGAAAATATTTGAGGGTATTTTCCTGAATTTCTCAATCCATAGAAAGTCTTCTGTGTTACGGATACCCTTACAAATGCTTTTTCAAAGAGAGAATTGACTTCGTGGAGAGTCACCAATGAGTTATCTGAGTGCTTCGAAGTTAGTTCTTAACAGTTTGTGAGTAAAAGGTACTTAGGGCTAAAATAAAACTCACCTACTTTTAAAATAATTATAGTAGTAGTAGTAATATGCAGTCAACATTTCGGGACAAAGGAGAATAGCAACGCTCCACTTTGCCCCGCTCTACGTTAACAAAACAATATTTCAAAATAATTCCATTAGCCTTTCTTGTTTTTGAGAAATTCAAATGAAATGAAACAAACTTATAAAACTAAGGCTTCGTACTTCTGCATTTTTATGCCAAAGGCAATACTTTACATTACCTACGCTTTTGTAAGGTAGAGAAAAATCAGAAAAACAGCAATAATTCGCTCTTCTGATATACTATCCCCACTTTCGCACAGTCATGTCGACACTCATTCTGACAAAAAAACTTGTTCTAGAGCTGAAAGGATCCAAATCTTTAAGTACAAATTCTACTTTGCCTCACCTTGTGCTACCAGGAACCTGTTTTTAATTCCCCGGAAATTGGTGGTTTGAGCAAGGTTAAATAGGAATACGTGTTGGATTTCATTGATGTATGAATAGTATTTGTTAGAGATGTTGGTTATGTTTTGTATTATGTATGGGGTATTTAATTATTTACGTAACTGTAAATTCGGTACACACCACGGGGTCTTTGTTACTGAGATGTTTATTTTGGATTGTTTGAATTTTGTTTACGTTGCTTATCTAAGCATTTAGCCAGATAGGACACGCTAGATCATTAATTGGATAATGTTTGTAAATATCTATTGAACTGTTGAAATAAATTTTACTTTTAAAGTTAATTAGCGATTTTAGTGAGGTGAACATAGAACGAAATCCTACGTTCGAACTCCGGCTACGGAGGTCAACAACGCTGTGAAATGGCAGGTAAGATTATTCACCTGGCGCTCTTTGAACACTCCTTTAGATCATGGAGCAAACTTACAATACATACTCCTTGAGGAATCGGGGTTTGGCTGTAGCAAGTGGTGTTTAATGTGCAAAATACGGCGAAGAAAAGTGAGAAAATAGGATTTCGTTCAAGAATTAATAATTTTACGTGGAAATGTAAAGGTTTGATATCAGAAGCAAATTACCTTGTATTTGGATTATCAAAACCACCGTAAAGCAGTTTATTATAGCAGTAAACTGCTATCAACTCGTTGTACAGGTTCTAATTCCTGATATTTTTTGTCTTTGTGGGGAATAAATTCCCACAGACTGCGGGAACTTCATAATACAAACAATAAGTATTAGGGAATGCTAATGAGGTTTTGTCATAATTAATTGATAAAGTAATCTTCGTCAACTTATTGAATTTACTCAATGAAAGGGATTTCGACCACTTTGTCGACATCATGTCTACAAATAATATAAATAGAATGCAAGCAGATTCGGGGAGCCGAAATCGCTGAGGGAGTTGTGCTGTGGACATCTCGGACCGCGGGTTCGAGTCCCGCCTCGGGCATGGGTGTGTTTGTGTATATCTGTATGCTTGTATCGTACATTCATCGTTCATTACCGTTATTCCATACCTCTCCCCAAGGGTCAACAACAATGGGAGTTAAAAACTGGATTCAGCATAAGAATGCTGATGTCCTCGAGAATCACGTACACTTACTACAGGAAACAGTAACTGAGCCACGGTATGTGCAGATTCTCATGGTCCCAGGTTACCAATTTGCGACAAAAAAGGCAAAATAAAAAAATAATACAGATAAGACAATTAATAAACATGTTAAAATTAACATACATAAGTATAAAAAGGAGTGGAATTAATGCAAATAGTGGAATGATAGTAGATTAATTTGAAATAATAATAATAATAATAATAATAATAATAATAATAATAATAACAACTACTAAAACAACGCATCGTAGCTCTTGGGCAGCGTATAAGAAGATATCACAAAAAAGAAAAAAAGAAAAAAAACGATCACAGAATGCTTTGTATTTATGCGGCCAGAAGATATTTTTTCAGGAAACTCAACGAACAAAAAAGTTACCTGAAACAGTTCTCACAAGCTACGAGATAGACGAATCTTGGAGTAATATGTGTATCCCCAAGACCTATGATGATAGAGCTTGCTGGTTAGCAGAAGAGGAAGGGAAGTATTGTGATATACCACAGATGAGCTCGCCTAATATTACACAGAGAGATATTTTCAATTCAGTCAGGAAAAGGCAGAATTAGAAAGCGCCAGGTACTGATGGGATACAAAACTTTTGGTGGAAGTATATCACGTGCACTCATGCGGTTCTGACAAGGTGGTTTCAAACCACATTCAACGATACAATGACGATTTCACAATAACGATATCATTCCGGCGTCTTTTAGTGAAGACATTACATTTATGATAATAAGCAAGTCTAGCGATCTTAACTCAGTGTAACTATCGACCTATCACATGTCTCTCCACAGTATATAAGATTTTTACATTTGTGCTAGCCAGTATGTTGAAACCCATCTAAAGGTCAACAATCTTCTGCCACCAGGGCAAAATGAAGAAAGTAAATACATTTTGTGCATCGACAAATGACTGTTCGTAAGCGAAGGGACATTTAATTATTACAATATTTATACATTTATTTATTACGCTGGATTTGTCGATCTTGGGAAATTTCATCAGAACGGAAACATAAATAAATAAAACATGTATGTCTGCTCCCTAGGTAGCTGATATATATATATATATATA